TCAACCAAATACAACTTTATTCCTGTCATCATCGAGGTCATTCATAAGGTAATCTTACCTCTTGCATTTAGGCAGAGGTTGGTAAAAGGATTCTTTTCAGTAAGAATTATATCCAAACCTACTTCCTTTATTTCATTGGGTTTCTCAAGTTCATTGTTTTTTTCCTCTTGTTTAGCACTGTGTTTTGTTTATACTGTTGCACCTTGAAGTACTTGAGACTTGGTTTTGATGCTCGAGAACAGAGTTCCAATTTGGAGTTTGTTTATTATTCAGATCATGATGTGCTGATGGTCAGTGTTTATTTACAGGCCAACCTAAGAGGAAGAGCCATGAGCTCTCTCTCACTTGGAAATTTGCCCAAGGCAGCAATCATTCTTCAGTTTATGCTACTAGAATAGTTTAATCTGTACAGGTTTGCCAAACACATGGTCAAGATAAAATTACTTATTTTTCCTTGAGGCTTTCCTGGTGGGAGTGAAACTTGTTTGTTACAAGAAAAGCCCTGGTCAGAGTCTTTCCTTCTCTTGCTGTCTGTTTGGCTTAGTTTCTTTTCTCTAAAGAAAATCTGTGAATTTAACAGTTTGTCTAGTTGTTTTCCCACAATGGTCTCCTACAAAAGCAAATGCAAACCACCATAACCAGTTAATGTTTCAGTTCCTGGGTTTCCAAGGGAATGTATAAGCAAGAAAAATAGAATCACTGTATGGATTACAGGATTTTTTTCAATAGCGTTGCCATGTAAGGCAGTAGTCTATGCACTTAGAACAAGTTTGCTATTGATATTATATTTGGAAAACAACAAAGCAAACAACTGAATTTCATTCTCAGTATTTTTATTCTGATTTTTTTCTCCTGTTTTCCCATTTAACTGCATAGTGATCAGAAAGCTGACTGCAGTCTGCATCATATGGATGTATCTTGAAGCAATTGGAGGAATGACATTTAGTGCTTAAAATTATTAACTGTGCTAAGCTGTTTCTTCTAAGAAGAGTTGAAATCTACTGAGAAACTGTTTCAGTTTGGTGTCCAAGTACATGAGTAATTAAATACTTTGAACGGTTTGTTGACTAAAACACCATGCAATTACAGATACTTCTGAAATCCATTATGGCTATTTCTGATACTTCTAAGCCTCAGTAGTGCCACAAACATTTCTTCATATCAACATGACTGCTGTTGATGTTTGTACTCACATAGTGTGTAAAGGTTCCACCTAAAGTGAGGGCTCGTTGTACAAGGTGCTGGGTGTCAGGCTTCTGGCACAAGAGAGCTATGTTTGTCTTTCTCAAATACATGTTTTTGTTTTTCCAAGATAAAGGGAGAAGGACAATGATACTCCTTTTCATCTGTTGGTAGAGTGGAGTTGTACAAAAGGTATCATTACATGATGGGTAATCATGTCACAAGAAGGAGTGGCTGTAGACTGTGAATTTACATAGTTTTGGAATGAGAGGTTTCTAGTTATCCAAGCAGTTTTGCCATTTTAGAATGAACCTTCATTAGTTTTAAAAAGGGCTTGTATAATGTGTTTTATCAAAACACTGGGAGGACTAAAGAGACAAGGAGTTTTGTTCCAGCTCTATGATTTCTACCTTCTGGAGAACTGGAAATAACTGTCACCTGTTTGTCACTCAAATTTACGTGCACCACTGTGAAACTGTAATGTGAAAAAGGGACACCTGAAGCAGAAATTTCAGCTTCTTAGAGGTGTTTTTTGCCTTGGAATTGATGGTAAGGATCATTGGGTTGAGTAGGTACAACGTCTGCTTTACCTTGTATTTACTGTGTAATAGTGGGAAATAAACAAATTTCTGATTTACAATTTTTTACCAAAAATCTGACAAATCAGCTTACTTTTTTTTTTTTTTTAGCCAGTTCAACACCAAAAGCTTAGTGCATATAATAACACAAATCCAGAAGTAAAGATATAAACAATCCTGTTCATGTAGAGAGAAATAATGCTGGTCTGGCCTGGTAATATCTTGTTCCAAGAAATGTGTTTCCATCTGCTTTTGTTTGGACTGTGCAGCATAAACTTGCTTTAACTATAGCTCACTTGGAGTTTTAAAGGATCCATTTGTTTTTAATCGTAGTAGGCTTCAAAATTCATTTCTCTATGACTAGCCAGAGATATTTGAGAAGTCTGAAGACCAGGAAGGTCTCAACACTCTGAAATTCACCTGCAGAATACTCGCTGCAGTGTTTAAATAGTGGTGCTGACTGCTTTGTTACAGAGAGGATTTAGGGTTCCCCACAATTTAGATGGTTCTCCTGGCGATGTTGACCTCTGTAGCAGTTCTGCAGGTTGCAGCATCATTGTGTCAACTGAATGCACTGGTATTGTGCTGGCTGAGGCTCGTTGGTTCACCTGGCATTGGCTTAGGTCTTTCTCAAAGGAGGGTTTTGGAGAGTGGATGAGAGGTGAAAAGTAATTTGTGGATGAAGTATTTTTTTCCACATAGTCTGCACAGGTGTTATATATGATTATATATACATGATATATAATCATACATATACATGGTTTATAATTATGTACAGGCATTTAGGTCGAGGGGTGGGATTGAGGCTTTTTCGTGAATGTTGAAAGAATGCAATTTTTTATTTTTTTTTTAACCTAACATATGCATCCTCAAAATGCTCTATTTTGAATATCTTTGAAGTCATGAGCTACTCAGACTGCCTTTCCTCTCTTTCAGGCTGCTTGTCTAAAGAGTGTGATAACCCTGATAAGTCAACACAATCTCTTTTATTTACCAAACTGGGAAGTCTCTAGAAAATTGCAGTCATGGGGAAGTTGTATAACACACAGTGCACAGTATTCTGTTGCTTTTCTAGGCTTATAGTGCTCACTATCCATTTTAAAGTGCTGGTTTTGCTGTCTGGTACCAAGTGGATTTGAAGAATTATGTTTATCACAGAGCAGTGGGGTACTAGAGGAAATCCATGTTAAAATAATGGTATAGTTCTCCCATATATATGTACTGTTGAAACAGACCATTTTCTTGCCTCCCTTTGTATCTTTCTTCCCCTTGAAATTAAAAAGAAAAAAAAACATTAAAATGAGCTCTACTGCAGTCTCTGTGCATCAAGGGCAGACTAAACTGTTTGGGGTTTTTTTTCATTTCCTGCCACTTCATGCTTCTGTCAAGACTTTTCCAGGAGAAAGGGCAGGTCAGTAACCAGTTGTCTGGGAAAAGAAAACTTAGTTACAGATATTTAAACAAGCCCAAAACAAACAGCTTAATTGGTCACATGAGAAAAACAAGATGCCAAGGTCATCCTCTCCTTCCCTCATATGGCATCTAAATGACCCTAAACATGTGAGTTTGTTTTTTTTTCTCTTAGCTTGCTTCTATGTTTAGCTTTGTAGTTTCTATTAACAGCATCCAAAATAGATGTTGTTCAAGGCAGGCAGGTGTACATGCCCACGCTGCATGGAGACAGGGGTCCTGCCATGGAGTGGAGGAGAAGCACTGCTGTTCCTCCTGCAGTAGGGAATTGGTTGTGTAACAAGGAAAAATATGCAGGGTGACTGGTCAGGGGGCCATAGGCTCTGGAAAGTCTGTGGCAAGGGGAGCAGTCTTAAGGCAGATTGCACTTAACCATCAGGATTATCTGTAGGAATGCTTTTTTGTATTTGCAGGAAATTGTACATTTTACATTCTATTCTGCTCAAAAATATTCGTCTTCAGACACTGAACAAAACTTCTCTCTAGTTGTCAGGCAGGTTTGTGACTTACAGACTTTTGAAGTTTTCAGCTCTTTCTTGATTGCTGATCTGCCTTCAGCTGACAAAGGACTTTGTGGCCCTGAGGAGAATAATAATATTGGAAGCTATTTGATAATCTGTCTCCTTCACAAATACTTAAAGATTGAATGCATTTGAATATGTTTGCTTTTTAGGTGCAAATTTTGTTAATATAGGGTAAAGAGAAGTCTCAGTGAAGTATCTGTTCTTGTACACTAACATGAAGTTTCACCCTGAAAAACCCTTTAGTTAGGTGAGACAGGAGGCCAAGAAACGCTGCTTAAAGCTCTTTCAGATAATCAGGCCTGAGTTTCAGTATTTTCAAGTGCTTCAATACCATGGCAACAAGAGCTTCAATGCTTGAGATAATTGGGGACAGAATTAGCATATTTCCCTAGGAAGACTCTTCTGAGAGTTTTGAAGTGGTTTGCAAAACTGAGGTGGTCATGGGTGCTTCTCAGAGAGAATTTCTCTGCCTGGACCTGGCCCTCCCAGTTACTAGCTAACAACCAGACCACTTTCCAGTGCTCCATTTCATCTAGCAGAATCACAGACCTGTGTGGGGTGCATATCTGTGGAGGGCCTACTAAATTCAGTTTCCACATCTGTGAAAACATTTGCTGAGCTACAACAAAATCATGCATAACTCTGGACAAGGTCTAAGATGGTTTTTAAAAATAAAATGTGAAGTTCCAGTCAAGCAGCTGAGTGGAAAGTGCAGCTAGATAAGAAGGCAGCTCTCTATACCCAGACCATGATAAGAGTCATTGGCCACTCATTCTCATTCCATAATCAGCTGCATAAATATTATTGAAAATGAAATGTGCAATTTATTGCTTGCTCTGGAGAGGGATTAGACATTGTAAGCAGCAAGGTGGGTAAAGACATGTTGGCAGCTTGGAGTGGGGATTAAATTACATCATAATCAAAATTTGCTAAACCTGGTAGAATCTCCTCATCTGCTCTTGCTGGGATTATGAGAGACATGGCTCCTTGAGTAAGGACTAAAATATTGGGTTTGGTGATGGATTGTTTTAACATGAAGATGTTTCAAGACCCTCAGTTGCTTTATATGAAGAAGTTGCTCAAGTGTAAACAGGTGACATTCCTGTCTCAAAGGTGATAGTGCTTTGATAGTACTGTGACTGTGGTACATAAATTGCTTTAACATTCTATATTATAAAATATGGTGGCACTGGTTTCTCCCATTTAATTTAATAAAAGACGTAATCTACTTCTTTCTTGTCTTAACAGCAGTTGAAAAAAAAAGTGCAAAGGAGTTGTTGCCCTCTATTGGCTTGTCTTCACTGTACCTCTCCCATTCTGCTTCCTCCTCCTGATGATCCCCAAGTGAAGATGAGTGACCTGCTGTGAATATGACATCTCTGACAAGTGTCATTGCCTCCCACCAGTCTGAGTGGGTGTCCTTCACTGATGAGCTGCTCCTCCCTGTTCACCCACGAGGTAAGCTCTGATTTTCTTTGATGCTGGTGAGACTTCCTTTGTTTGATTCAGACCAGCTACAACAATTTAGACCACATATCTGTCATGGGAGAGCTTGCCTTCTATGTGGAAGCAGTTTGTGCAGAGATTGAATTATGTCCTGCTACCCCTAGGTAAAAGGAGAATTTGGGCCAAGAATCTCTTCTCATGTGATGTAATGAAGATCTACTACAGGTTTTGGATCTGTCCTTCAAAATTCAAGACAGTATCTATCCAACCATGGAGGAAATATCACCTGTTATAACCAAGTGCAAGACTGCCCACTGTTAATCCAAAAACTGCATTGGGTGAAGGAAACTTTCCTTCATTTAATGGCAAATTTTAGATGTTTCAATAAAAAACGATGAAATAATGGTCAATCTTGTAAATCTTTCTATGTTGCCTCTATTTTAGGAAGCACTGAGGCTCCTCCGGTGAAATGTTTTAATTCCTCAGACACATCCTCAGAAGAGAATCACAATGCAAATGGAGAGTTTCAAGACCTTTTCTGCACAGAGCTGGAAGAGGCAGCTGAGCAGCCCAAACTGGATTCTTCTGTGCTTGGTAACCATGATCTTTCATCATCCATCAGTTCTTGGGTTCAGTTTGAAGATGCACCGTGGACCAGTGCTTCATCAACCCACCCACAAACAGGTGAGGCAGAAACAGTGAAAAAGTCTCTTCCAGTAAGATAACAAAGTACAGTGAGAGCATACAGGATTTTTGCCTTGCTCTTTGGCTTCTCAAAGGTTTAACTTTGAATATTTTGTACTGTATTTTAACACAGTTAATGTTATCAGAGTTTCAAAAAGGGCTCACACTATCCTTCTGGATTGAACAAGAAAGATTTTCTTTTTGTAAAGAAAATGAAAGCCTTTTGTGATTCACTCCACCTGTGTCTTGACTAAGTCTTGGAGATTGCCAAAATGCATTCAAGGGGAAAGATCATAGAGGTGTTTTCTGTAGTGACATTTCTTACACAGAGGTATGAACAGCCATTGAAAAAGTCGGAGCCATATTTGTCTCTGTAATCTGGAACTGAAAGAACTGTGATCCCCTCTGTGATCATAGCCTCTACCTGATGATAGCTCCTGTATATATCCTCTATGGTTTTTTGCCAGCAGTTCACTGATACCAATAACTAGTGTGCTTATCAGTACTTTCTGCTGTCTTTTGATGCTGTGATTTAGCAGCTGGAGAATTGCAAAGACAGCAGAAGTTTACCTTAATTCCAGCACTGCATGCACTTTTCCTCAAATGTAGCAGTTCTTTCTGACATACTGTAAACATGCATGCAAATCCCCTGGCTTGCCTCATGAGCTTATGGTAACTGATGTGGCTATATGAGCTTCTAGTTTTTCTGCATGAACAGACTTCTGTCCTTCCTTGCAGGAGGTTGTGGAATAATTGCCCAAGAAAACAATAGTTTTCGTTTCTTATGTTTGACTTGAGATTCTCTCTTATTAGTTCCACTTTATGACTGCTGTTTATTAAAGCAGTTTAAAGAGTTGTAGCTTTCCTCTTCTCACTGAGTCCATCATATATTTATTCCCTGTAGCATGAATAATACTTCTGTCATAAAACTTGGATTGTCAACTTTGGATTGGGTTTTGGGTAAACCCCATCTGGATTTCCATCTGCTCTTTTGATGGGTGCTACAGACTGGTTCTTTTGAGACCATGTGGCTAGACCTTTGTGCAGAAGTAGGGCAATCTTCAGGCTAAGAGATTTCTCTGACCTTCCTTACTTCTTAGTTGTAAATACTTATTTATCCTTGTGATATGGAGAGAAGGAGGAGCACCCATGAAGTGTAAATACGTAAAACTGAGGTGCTCTACCTCCCTCTCTAGTTTCATGGCTATGTGATCCTTATGCTTACTCATACAACAACACACTTTTTCAAATGGGGCTGTTGGTTGCTTTGACTTGGTATCTCCTTCCTGATGTTACATCCTTGTCAACTGAAAAACTTGTAAATGCGCCTTCTTAAATGAAAAATAAAAATCTTTCTGATCAACCTTAATAAAGCTAATCATAAGAAAAAGACTTCTATGAAACAAATTTTATGGTATATTACCTGATGTCCTACCATTAGAGGCTGTGGCCCAGATTTAAGGTATGTGCTTAGCCAAAGCACTGCCTGTGGGTGTGTGTTTTCAGTCACGGGGGCACTAGCCTGTAGGCAGAGGTCTAGGACATCCAGATGAGGAGAGAAGAGTGGGCTTTCTGAAAGCATTGCAGTTTTGAAGAAGACTCTCATTTGTGTCCCTGTAGAGGCTTGCCCTGTGTGATCTGTGTCACTGAGGGAGGATATTTACACACTAAGCTTAGGATCTGACTGAGATTCATGGAGGAGAGTGGTTCCCCTAACAGTCAGACCAGGATGTACTCCATGTAATTCTTACGTGGGAAGCTATTATTCTATGAACTATAAAGGAACTCTAAGGAGGTGTGTCCTAAGGATATTTTAAAGTCCTTACTTATGAGCTGGTCCCACTCCTTTTCTGGACCCTGAATGATAAAAGGCCAGACCAGTGCAGCTGACAGTGTCTAAATGGAGGCAGAAATGACAGCTCTGTTTCTGACCCTTTACTTTGAGGGACATCTGACAGCATGAGGCAGGATAAACTTCAGCCTAGTTGTTCCATTATTGTGCAGATCACGATTATTTTTTCTATGGGCGGCAGCAAAGCTGGAGATGTTGTGTACGCTGACACCCTCAGTGGAAAGCCCGTGGTGACAGCAATTATTCATTTCCAGTAGCAAACATTCTGCATAAGAACAATAGCAAATACCCAGACTGGGGGGAGGGAAGAGCATAAGGCCAAGTACAAACAGAAGGATTGGTGTGAGAAGGATGGACACATTTGAAATCTGTTTCCTGTGCAGGCAGCTGTGAAGAGCAACGTCCTGGAGACTCAGCACCCCCGGTCGCGTTCCTGTCAGGGCTCCAGTGCTGTTAGGAAATCGCTTGTCTCTCTGTCTGTGCTCAAGCAGCTGCTCAGCTGACTAGATAATTACCCAGGCTGATGGCCAGGCTGCCTGGAAACACATTTTGAAAAGGGCTTGCAAAGTGGGATTTCCAGAGTGCCATGAGAGCAAAGAGGATGGGTCCTAGGAGAGAGAGAGATGCTGTCTTGCTCTGACATTAGGGTTACAGTATTTTGGCACAGGTTCCCCCAAAAGCAAATATTTGTCCCAGAGTGCTCAGTGCTCATTTTTTGCTAAAAAAATATCAATTTAAAGACAGCTAGAATGTAGTGGTTATCCTATAGGAAGGACATTTTAAAGAAAACCAAGGCTAATGCTGGACCCTTGTTCTGGGAAAAGTGAAGACATTTTTGGGGGAGCAGAGGCCAGGGGATTGATGACAAGAAACAGGGCTGAACAAACAGGCAAAGAATTTGGCAGATAAAAAGAAAGGTCAAAATCTGAGGTACAGAAATGAAAAGCACTCGTAGTAAGCCTTACAGTGGAAACTATCTTTATTAAAGATGTTCTTGTAAACCCTTCCTTCTGTCAGGTTCAGGCAGAGTAAATGCTAAGAAAAACATTTTTTTCAAAATATTTCTGCATTTGAGGTTTATGTATAGTTAACTGACAGCTGCCAAATCATGTGGATTTCTCCTCAAGAAGCAAAAGCTCTTGCGTGAGGCCATAGAAATACTTTGTCACAGAAACAATGTATTGTGGTGTCCCCTTCTCTATTTTCCTTTTGCTGGAAAAAGAAGAAATTAGATTTTTTTTACAATTATTATCAGCCTAGTTAAACTGTTACTGCCAAAGTGAAAAATGAGATTTTTAGGCTGACCCAAATGTTCCTATCACAAATGCTACACAATCTGTAAATTATCACAGCCAGCAGGTGACAAAACATTTGCAGTTGTTACACAATGAGCCTCCAGCTCACTGTCTTATATTCTATCAGTGTTAGCTGCACTTTTCATTTCAATGAGGTATTCTTAGTCACCATAATTAGACTAAGGCAAGATCTGTTACATCATCCATCCTACTCAGCCCACTTCTTCCCAAGACCTTTGTCTGGTTTAAAATGGCTCAAATTACTTGGACTCTTACCATGTCCCTTGAGAGGCTATCCAACAGCGTGTCTGAGGTTAACTACTTTGTGCTGTTCTCTCTGAAAGTAGACAATATTTGCAACACAAGATCAGCAGCTGGAAACTACACCTGTCACCAGAAACTGTGATGCTATGCTAAAATCAGAAAAATCTGAAGTCCTATGTAATAAGAAAGGAAATGATGCTAACATGGTTTATTGTAATACAGTGTAGGGATCAAGTAACAGGTCCTCAAAACACCAAAGAGGAATGAATACTTCAAGGTGAATCTGCATATTAAAAAACAATCCATTGTTTTAAGAGTAAACATGTCAAGAAAAGTAAAATGCATGTCTCATTTTGGGAAACAATGAGTTGATTTTCAGTATACGAGGCATGCTACAGAATTTGCATTTTAGGGATAGTTCTGGCATTGTCTTTCAAGATAAAGAGATTTCCGAGAAATTCCTGCAGCAGAAAGGCTGGGACTCTCTGGCTATTTGCATTAGAGACTTAATTGAACTCAAAAGAGCCCTGCCTCATTGAGGAATTTGGCTGCAGCACTTCTAGGAATCTGAAGAGCAACAGCAGAAGCATCTGAAGAGAGATCTTAAATATGTGTTGATGTTTACTTTTACTTGTCTTGTTTTTTGACATTGCTAGGTCGTCTTTTGACTAAGTTTAGGGGGAAATGCATTTTTGTTAGTTTTAATAATTAGTGTTGGGGGACCTAGAACAGTCACAGGTAGAAGTTGACTATAAAATTAATTTGCTCTTATATAGAAGTATTTGGCACACTAGTCCAGGCAGTTGCCTTCTTAGATAAAAATCTGGTTTGGAAAGCAAAAAACTAGTTGGCAATATTTGAGTTATTATATCTTACATGTTTCTAAATTAGCATGTTTTTTCATATTGCTGTGACTGACTTAAAAAAATACTGGAAATCTAAGATTTTTTACAGAATAATTCCACAGTTTTTAGGATATAAAGCACACTTAAAAAAAAAACCAACTTGGCTCCTGTTAGTGATCCTCATACAGAGCTCAGCTTTTCAATTTGTCCTCTATGCCAAATAAAGTGCTCTGTCTGTCAAAGCAATTTCAGCTGAAGTTTTAAGGATGGCTTTTCAGGTGCCTCACGCTGTGTTTAACAAAAGGACTGAGAGAGGGACTGACAGATTATAATCATACATTCATCATCCTCATTTCTCTACAGGCATTGAGCACAGCACAGCGTGCAGTTACTGGAGGGAGGAGGGCTGGGCTTTGGTTGTGTGTCTGACACAACAGCTGTCAACATGTGCAATAAGGAGACAGATCTGACTTTCAGCTCCTCATTCTCAGGGATGACTCTACTCAGAACCCACTTAGTGTCAGTAGGCACACAGCTGTACACATATAAAAATACCACTGCCTGTTTACCTGAGGCTATCAATGCAGATATACAAAATAAATTCACACCTCTCAAGAGGCAAGACAGAGAGCACTGTTTGGATATTCTGTCTACGCACACAATAAAGTTTCCGTAATGAGGAAGTGCCCTGTCACATCACTTGGATGGAGAGAGTTGAATCTTCTTTAACATTGTCTTTTTTTCCAAAGTATCTGTCAACCTAGGAAGGGTTGTTTATTACGTACTGAGAAGAGAATCTCTGTGTCAGTAGTTGTTCCGTAGCTGCAAGATTTGGGGAGCATCAAGGTCTTTGTTGGTTTAACAGCTAAATATAGATGTACTAATTTAGAAGACCACTATTAAGCTGATATTAAATTAGAAATAGTCTCTACCCGTAAACTTTTCCTTAGTTCAGGAAGACATTCTAACCATAACTTTCTTTTTTATTAGTATTATTTTCTCACTAGGGTCACCCATTGTTCCTATCATTCAAGCAATGTTGTGGGCAAAGAGTATGTGATACAAAAAGTACACAATACAAGCTCATAGCAGTGGATGTGTGTGTTTAAACTCTATGATTGTGTTAGAAACTCTGGGTGGTGGTTAGGCAGGACTGAGCTGTTTGACTTACAAGTCTGGCAAATGAGTAGAACAGGATTTTTGGTCTACACTGAGCAGAAGTGTTATGTAGTATATTCAGACTGGGCCTCTACATTGTGCATGTTCAGAAACAACAGCCATTCCTAGTGCACATCAATAGGTCAATTGCAGGTTATTTTTACACTCCTCCTCCATGGAGAGCATTCCTGAGATGATGACTGCATTTGAGTGGGTGTCACAGATAGGGAATGCTTAATTAAATATAATAAAATGACTTAAAAAAAAATAATCTGTGGTGCTGTAAAAAGTCCACTGTGTTGCACAACAAACACATTCAGGTCCTGTCAGCAGTGTCAGAAACATAAAATCTTGTTCTGAAAAGTCTCAGTTTCTCCAATACTTGAGCAACAGGAAAGCATATGGCTGCCTCCAGTGCAGAATGTAAGGCAGCTGTGTAGTGCTGGAGGGTAACAGTGCCAGGCACTAGCTAAGTTGCTCTGCATTTGTTATAAAATGACTGAGTTGCTGTGGATGTTGGAATTTGTATTTACACAGCCCCAGTACACTGATCTAGCATGTCTTTGGAAGAGTTGTGAATGTGATATTTGGATAGATTGCCCTGCAATCTATCATGTCTCTAACCAATATGTGCTTTCTGCAACCAGTGTCTGCATCAAAAGCACCCAGCTGGACTTCCCCCTCTTCCAACTCTTCTGAGAGGCAAGCCCGTGCCTCAGAGAGCAGCTGGACAACAAACTCAGAGGACACCAGCAGCCCAAGCATTGCTCCCTCCTACACAGATCTGCAGTCACTCAATACCGAGGACTTGACCAGTGGTAGAACATCTGCAGCAGATTCAGCTGGTAAGCGGGAAGCCTTTAATCTTTTTGATGCTACTCAAACTCACTGTTCAGAATTGAGCCACAGGGAATGGATCCAAAGCAGAACAAACTCAAGGATGGATTAGTCAGATGAACCTTTTGTTCTACTGTAATTCCGAAAAAATCACACTTGGATTGTACACAGCGCTGACATGTGCAGGCTCCTGAAGTTAGAGCCAAGTGCAACTATGTACCTGTTGATAGACTTGGAACATTTCAGGTTTTCACATGTCACAATTAGCTTAAGCTGATCTAAGAACTAGTATGCTGTGGGACAGGCTGGATGCCTTTCCTAAATTTCCATGCAGAAATTTTCTCAACAGTGTATTCAGCTGAGGCAGGCCCACTTCTCCTTGTTCCTCTCTGTTTCAGGGAGTGCAAAGACACAGATCCAGTTTGCTGGAGGCATTCTATGCATAGTGCTTTGCACTGTTACTGAACAGTAAATGCAGAGAGAGTTTAAGACATGACATAAGATGGTTCAGTAGCAGATTTTAACCATTTAAGGACCTTATAGCTGACCTTGTAGAGCTCTACTCAGATACAATCCTGATTGTGGAAAAGTGTGCTACATGGCATTGTAGCTCTTTGCTCCTCAGTTGTACTCTGGGTAAGCTGAAGAAGGAGGAGGTAAAGCAGAGCGGTACCAGTCATGTCATGGAGAATAGGAACTCCTGAATGACAAAGCTGACTTTCACAGTGCATAAAAAAGCTGACATGTCAGGACATAGAAAAAATACACAGCTCCAGGAGGAAGCACCTGCACTATGTTGGAAGCTGTTCAACCCAAGCTGAGGAAGGTCAGTAGCTACCCAGCTTGGTGATGAAAATTGATTCCCTTGTGTTGTGATAGCTCAGACCTGGGAGATATTTAATGTGTTTTCTCTCAGGTGGTGAATGTAATAATATGTGGGAAATAAGATCTGTTTTGTGAGAATGAGTTTCCTAAGCCTCACCGAGGTCATATGTCCCTTCCACAAGAAACATATGCATACATCACCTGCAAAGAGTATTATTTGGTGGTTCAGTGAAGCTGGGATAGACTTCCAGGCAGGTTTTTTAACAGCAGCATGGTAGGTGCTGGCTCAATACTTTAGACAAAGGATTTGTGGAGAAGTAGTAATTACTTTTTATAAGTAGAGCTGTTTCTTTTTTCAAATAATGAAGTTACCACAAATTTGTCTGACCATTTTTATTTTGGAATACTCTGCTTCTCTGTACCTCTGAGTTTGGAAACCATTTTTAGGTAGAATAGGCAAGCTAGAGAATATGCTGTATATTGCTATTTTCTTGATTTGGTATAGGCTGCTCTCACTGGGGCTGTCTCCATCTGAGCAAAGGGAATGAGGGGTTCCCAGTCTGCATATACATTCACATCAAGTCGAAGACAAAAGGGCTGCTGTATATGCCTGTCACACATATGGGATTATATCCTATATATGGCCGAAAGTGAAGCTGATACTTCAGTAAAAGCTGTGTGCAACTTTCTTACTATGTCCCTCTCAGTCAGTCACAAACTTGACATATTTTTTAGCAAGATGAGTACAAAAACTCACTCCAGTCACCTAAAAATTTTAACAAGTAAAAAAGGAGGTAATATAAGTAAGGCTGTGCTATTAGTTAAAACAAGATACACTAATCATAAACATAAGATACATAAAACAGAAGATACACTTACAGTTCCAATACCTTAGTGATACTGGAGCCTTCCTGTGACCAGGTGTAGAGTTTGCAAAAGGGCAGCATGAACAAAGTGCATCTGTTTGTCCTGTTCTTGGGGTGCCTCACAGTCCACTCCTTGCAGTGGCTGCTGGCATCAGGAAGGTTTGTGGAAGTGTGGAAGTTGAGGACATAGTGGCCATGGAATTGTTGTACAGTTCTGGCTGCTTTTCTGTTGTTCAGTCTACCGTCAGCCCACCATAACAGTGCACAAGTGGACAAAAAACGTATGATCGTTTTCTTGTCTCCATCTTCTCTGCCCCTCACCAGAAATTTAGTTCTTTAAACCTGACTTAATTCAAGCATTTGATTTGCATTTCTCCCCTCAAAGGACTGGCTGCCTCAGTCTGTATTGAGTTTCGAAGGCTCCATCAAGACAATGAAATGGCATATACTTTGCCATGAAGGCAAAGAGAGGAATCCTCATGCTCTGTGTGATGATGAAGTCACCTTGACTGTTAGCCAGGATGTTTACTCCAAGGTCAAGCTTGCTGGAGGGGAAAGAAAATCAGACTAATTTCACTGCTAAAAACCCTATGAAAATAATAAATCCATGTTTGATCTTAGTGATGGTAAAGAATCAGGTCTATAAAACAGTCTGGGTTTAATACGGTTTCAAGAGAGAAAAACCAAGTGATGAGAAAAGCATGAAAAATTCTACTCTGTGGTCAGATGCTAAGTAAAAAAGCTATTTTAGCCATGGTGAATTTTTATTGCCTGAACAGGATAAAAGGATATACTCTGTTCCATAATTTCACCATTTGTCTTGAGTCTGTCCTGCATGCAGAATGCTTAAACACCAACTGCCTGTGGTAGTTGAGGGCACAGGTTTTTGTGTGGGAGCAGATTAAAGCCTGACTGCAGGCATACAGAGAGACAAGTGTCAGCCATAAAAATGTGCATCTTAGTGTCCGAGGCTGGTAGACTCTAAGCAAGTAAAATTGGCTGGGAATTAACTTTCCCAGAACTGACACAAAATCTGAGTGTAAAACGTATGGGCTTGTGCTTCTATAATGCATGTGTTTATGAAAGATACGGCCTAGGAAGATATTTTAGGAAGATGAGAGATACCTGAATGGTTCAACCTGTAAGTTTACCCTTGCTACAGGAGACTGCAGAGAACCTCCCAACTGATGGAGTTGGGATAAGCAGACTTATGTCCTGTAAGGCAGCAATGTTCACAGTGGTGAAGGTAAATGTTGCATGAACAGAGCTGAAAAATATTTGCTTTTCTATCAAAGTGCAACTAAAAGAAGCTGCACTTCCTTGCCTATGCTTGTTTGAGCTGTGGCACCAAGAAGCCTTTTACATTACCCTCATCTTTGTCAGCACAAGGGACTCAGGCCTGCAGCAGCTAGCCAGTAAATGTGGGTCAGGTGATAGCGCACTGTCCATTAATGTGGGCGTTTTTATGTGGTTGTAACAGCTGGGGTTTCACAGTGCTGTGAAGCTGCATTTGGTGCTGGTGAAGTGTCCCTTGCCTCAGAGTTCCTACCATGCCTCACCATGTCACTCAGCTTGGATCAATGAGCATGAAAAGAAGTGGGAACTTTTGGCCTTTGCTGTGCTCTGCAAGATAAGTAACACAGGACATCTCTGTTACTGATACAATACAAGTATTTGTTCCTTCTGTAGCAGATGCCTGTCTCAGCTTTCAAAAAAGGCCAAATATCTGTGAGACAGAGGAGCAAGGAAGAGGCCTTCTTGTAACTGTGGTTATGTGTCTGTTCTGAGGTTTATAATCAATTTAGATTTCTGCATTTCACCATTCTTCTTTAAAATAATTTTATTTATATAAATTAAAGTTATGTTGTATACAAAATATAAATAATTATATATGGTCAATACGTATATAATATATATATTTACATAGCTCATAAACTATGTGCTGTTATAAACTTAATAGAATATATATAGTAGAATCTCTCTGTATTACATAATAAAGCTGTGTGTCTGTGTGTAGGCATAAATTTCCTCACAGCAATTTTAGGTGTGTTGTTGCTAGTTTAGTTGTTTCTGTTGTGATTTGTATCTTAGCAAAGCTGCAGCTGAGCCATGTTTGATGCTAACAGTTCAATTTGCTGACCAGTTGTTCTCTTTGGCACTTTCTTGTATCTCTGGAACTACTGGGATACTCAGGAAATAGCTATGTTATTATTTTCTGAGAACGTCTGCATGTTTGGAGATATAAGGTTACATGATTGACCCCTAACTTCTCAAAATCTAGACAGTTCATAAATAGCACAAGGAATTAGTTCTGAGAATGTTGTTATTTTCAAAGTAAAACACGTTGTTTAACAGGATTCTGGTGCTTCTGTTCCAAACCTTGGAAATGGCAAATCTGAAAAGATGTTTCAGCTAGCTCCTCAAGGTAGTAGAAGGCAAGTAATAACTTTTCAAACCTTTTCCTAATGCTTTTCTGCAGTAGTTCTGTTGCATTTCTTCTGTAACTGCACCAGCCAGATTCTGAATCCTGATCTGATGACTGCAAGGATGGTGTTCTGTGAGTGTCAAACAAGCAGCTTTGAACAGATTATATAGCTGTGCAATGTGGTTGCACTGAATGCCATGACCGGGCTACAAGCTCTGAAATTATTCCATGTTAATTACCATGGCAAGAGGGAAAATAATATATGCTGGTGATTACCACCTTCCATCCACAACTGCATTTCAGTTATGCCATGTAACTATTAACCAGCTTGTGCTGGTGTCCCAGTCACGTGAAAAACGTGAGAGCCTGCCAAAGCCAACTGGAGGGGCTGCAGAAAGGAACATCCAACCCTTGCTTCAAGGAGGGGACTTCAGAGTACCATGAAAAAATAGCACCTAAAATATATTTTTAAATAACTCCAACCTGTAAGGGCTAGATTCATCACCAGAGGCAGGGTTTTTTATTTTTCATGTCAATACCAACTAGCAATTCAGGAGTTTTATATCCTAGTTGTCATCACATATTTTTCTTATACATTTTTAGCTTTTTGAAGGGTAATGAATTAGTGGGACAGATCTGGGAAGCTAGGTCTAGATAATTCATAGCAGTAGAAGTGTTGAGATCCCAAGATAGACCTGTGTACTGGGAATTAGCTCATCTTCAAGGCTTTCTGGCCACAGTATCCCAATGACCTCTGCAGTACTGTTCAGTCCTCATCCCTGTTTTGCAGTGGGGAAGCCTGCAGCTTGGTTGTGCAAGCTGGACCTGGGTGAAGTAGAAATAGCTTTTGCCATATAGACTGACAATCTTGCTCTTTGATGAGGGCTGCAGGTGAAAGCGGTGGACCAGAGTCACTGTCTCAGTACCTGCTTGTGGCAAGAAGGAAGCCATGGAAAATCTGCCAGGAGGAAGGGGGAAGGGTTATAATGAGGGAAGAACAGGTACAAAAACAAATGTTTATTTCTGTCTATTCAGTAGAGAGAATTACAAAATAATCTTGGTGTGCAGTCATCTGTCTGATTCATAGGCTCTAAGGCCAGAAAGGAGGACTGTAATGTCATTATTATTGTCTAATCTGGCATCCTGCACATCTCGGGCCAACAAACCTCACCCAGTCACTTCTGCACCAAACTCTTCAGTTTGAAATATACAAAACAACTGCAGGCTGTTCAGAGAATGCATTGAGAACAGCCCTGAGGAAAAGCATGTGGGAGTGCTGGCAGATGAAAAGCTCAACGTGAGCTGGCAATATGGAAGAAATTCTTTACTGAGGGTGGTGAGGCACTGGAAAAGATTTCCCAGAAAAGCTGTGGATGCCCCATTCTTAGAAGTAAGTGTTCAGGGCCAGGCTGGATGGGGCTTGGAGCAGGCTGCTCTAGTGGAAGGTGTCCCTGCTCATGGCAAGGTGGTTGAAACAAGATGATTTTGAAGGTTGCTTCCAACCCAAGCCATTCTATAATACTATATCCTGAGCAAATATTTGCATAATATCTTTCTGATTAACATCAGCTACAGCAAAGTTAGTCCCTGATCAGTCATTCCATCCCTTCAAAAACTTAATTTTTAAAAAGGACTGTCCTAGTAATAGCATGTAAAGCAAGCTGAGATGTCATGGAGCTCAGCACTGCCAGCTCTTGTGGGGCTATATGTAGTTTGCTAACTTCAAAAGGTCCAATATCTGCCTCTGCTATGCCCCAGAAAATAACACTGATTATTTATCTTCTCTGTTACCTTGCCTCACAAAGAAGAGTGGCTGATGCTGCTGTAAGACTATGAGACTCCTGCTTTTTCTTCAGGGACAATGAGATACATCAGGGTGTTGGAGGACAGGATTTAATATTGCTCTTATAGGAAGAAAGGAGTTAGAAGAAAGCTCAGAAGTGTCTGCTCTACTAATGCCTACTAGGCTGAGTCTTACAGTGCTTACCCCCATGAATTAATTAGGCCTTCCCTGCTCCTCCACATTCTAAGAAAACCAAGTCTAAGACAAGGAGGAGGCAAAGTGTGAGAGGAGAGAGTGAAAGTATGAAAGAACTGAGTCTAATTTTCATTATTGCTTGAAATGTTATAATTAAAAACTATATATAATAACTTTGCTGTTTAATTGTTTTCTTGTCTGCTTGCTAGCATAGAATCAGTTCTGATCTCCTACATGTCATTGGTCCTGTCCTGCAAAAAGCTAAATGATCATCTCCTAGTTTTAGTGCTGTTTTCTTCTGATGGTTACGCGGAAGTGCAAGATACAGTAACCGTGGATTTGTAGCAGGGATATCTTTATTATAGAAGAGCTAAATGCTGAGCCTACATGGTATTCTTGAGGAAGTTCACTCTTTTCACCAATGCTTTTACATGGATCAGCTGAAAGGACAGCAGAGAGAAGTCCAGGGCGAGTCACAGGACTGACCTTCTGATCTGCCTTTATATAGGCAATATCCTGAGAAAATAGATGTGAATAGATGCTTTGTAGTTTGTCTCAGGCCAGTGAGGCAGACTAGGTGGTAAGAAGCTCTTTTTTTCTGTTTGTAAGGCTGTGATTCGTGAGCCACAGTGCTTATGTTGCCCCCAGTCGGTCTCTCATGCAGAAAGCCACGTGCTGATATGATAAGCCTGAGGAGTTCTGCAGGAGATTTTGCAGCTGGACAGGACACTTCAGTATAAAGCTTAATTGGAGATGTTATGCTTAAGTGCAGCAGCTATCAGTGATTGCTGTGTTCACAGAGGAACAGCTTGGTTTATTTGGACCGATTCTGCAGGATGCTAAGTGGCTTCCAAGCTTAAAGCTGCTGGGAGAAAAGAACACACAGATATCTCCCCACATGGAGCTCTTTCAAAGTGGAAAACATCAGTGGGAGTCTTCAACGACATTATCTCGCCTGTTGCATTCAGTTCCTGCCACATGCCACTGTACTGCTGACAGGAGGCAGGAATGGCACTGTAGCCATAGAGCAGCTCTGGAGAAGCACTGTCCCATCTTCGTGCTGCTCGGCACCACAGCCAGTGCCCTACAGCACTGGCTGCACCCCAAGGAACACAATTCTGCAGCTCCTGAACCACCACAGGATTCACTGCAGGGAGGAGTCACCCATCTGAGAACTGGCATTTTCCACCCTTGACTCTACATGGCAGAGAAGCAACCAAGGCTTCAGCAGTAGCACCAATTAACAAGAGTTGTAAATCATTGCATGTGCTCTTGATTAGAGATCCCAGATCTGTGTGGAATTTCCTGTCTGATTATGAAGGGGCTGAATGGAGCTGGCAGAGTAAAACTGCCAGTGAACAAGCTGGCAGCAGCAGAGAGCAAGTAAGAATCAGAAATTTCACAACACCCAAATGCATGGATTTGCTTGTTTTTCTCTTGCTGTGATACCATCTGAAACCTAAGAAAGGCTCAGGGGATCACTGGTCTACGCATCACAGGAATTGGAAAAATGATGATGAATGCCTGTAGACCAGTTACAGAGTCATCTCCTCAAAGAACACTGTGGGATAAAATGGGAAGCAGATTTGTCAAAAATATGAATAGTGAACAGAATAATTTAAGCAAAACCTTCAGCTTCTATGTTCACAACTTATTTTCTTGTGCCCACTTAGGAACTTGTGATAAATGTCCATTTTTATCAGGACTTCTGCCTCCTTTTTTCTTTTATTCAGCCCCAGTGTTAGGGGAAAAATGTAACACTTTCTGTTTTTTCAAGGCAGAAATGAGCAGAGTTGCATGACAGTACTCTAGGGAAACTGCTGATTTGTGTCTTTACTTCAGTATCTCTGTTTTTTACCTCATCTAGTCTTGATCATCATTTACCTCATCTAGCCTTAATAACCATGTTCATCTGTAATTACAAGCAATTTGGTCTTAATTGTCCTCATGTTTGACAGATGAGACCAAAAGCCTCTGCCTGTATAAACTGGTATTTGCATTATGACTGTGTGTATTACATGAGAGGAAGAGGAGACTTCATGCTATTTCTTCATTCTGATCTTGGTTAGCAAGAAAGAGAATTGTGATTCTGGGTTTTGTCACATGGATTCCAGTCCAATTTACTTGTCAGTACCCTTGTGGTACTGCAGTATATTTCATGGACACTGATTAGAACTAATCACTTAGGACTCAATTTTTTAAAATTATTAAGAATGCTCAGTACCTTTTGTGAAGAAGTCCAGATCTGGGTTTTGCACCTAAAACTGTTTCCAAGATTATCGTGTCCCAACTATTATTGTTACAGTTGAACAAAATTTTCAAACAGCTTCAGCTGAGTGTGCTCCTCTCCAAATCTAGCCATCAAATTTACTGTCTAAA